GAGCAGCCTTGTGCTTTTCCCAGGCTTCCAACGTATTTATATTTTTAGCCCTATTGAAAAGCCTTCTTACCCCGGTCCTAAGCCCCGATAGCTCCTCGTTCCACCATGAGGCCCCGGCCGAGGCATTTCTCGGTCTCAATGGGCAATTCAGTTCAAAAGATTCCCTGATAGCATCGCTTACGAAACTCGCTGCGATCTCCAAGTCCTCCTTTGTGTGGAATCTGGTCGGTGTATTTTTTAGCCGACTGACTAAGTCGGTTTTAAAGCCCTCCCAGTTTGTTTTCCTGGAATTTCTCCCCCATTGTTCATCTTTTTGTAAGTTCACAAGGTCGAAGCGGATCTGTCTGTGGTCGGACCCTGAAGGTTCATTTGAGACCCTCCATCCCGCCACCAGATCCACCACACCCCTCGTGCCCAACGTAATGTCTATCACCTCTTGTCTTCTAGAGTCCAGGAAAGTGGGTTCTTTTCCTCTATTTAGGATTTGCAAGTTAGTGCTAATGATGAAGTCAAGTAGGCTTTCCCCTCTCGGGTTTATATTGGAGCTTCCCCACACCAAATGATGTGAGTTCGCATCGCAGCCCAAAAGAAGTTCTAGTCCCTTTTTCTTCGCATATGCTACTATCTCTATCATGTTTCTTTGGGGAGGGTAGTTCCTCTGAATCGTAGGGCATGTAAACAGACCCCACTATCAGGTCCCTGATCCCTCCATCGCCTGTTTTAAGTTTCAGCCTTACAGCCACTAGGTCGCCGTCGCTGAATTGTGGTAATAGACAGGCATCTATACCTTTCGCCACAATGCAAGCTCTTGGTCTTTCTGCGTTGTCTGCTTTGAACAATTTACCACAACCTCCAAGGCCCTTAATGTGTCCCTTGACGAGCCACGGCTCCTGGATGAGGAATAAGTGCTTTGTGTGCATCACAGCTGCGCACCTGGCTAGAACCGCCGAGGCGCATTTGCTGTGATGCAAGTTGATTTGAGTGAAGGGGATGTTGGAGCCCGCCATTGATTAGGCAGTCCCCGGCTCATCTTCCTTCCATTCTAACTCCCCCCTACGGTCCCCTCCAGGCAACCTAACTGTCGCCTGGCTGAGACCACAGAAGGGTTTGAAGTTGAGTGTTTTAAGAACACCCAACGTTCCCTCCCCAATAAGGGCAGCGAAATGGGTGCTCGTGGCATCCCTACTTTCGCTGCCCCTCGCGACCACCCAGTCCGCGGCTTGGAGACCCTCATTCTGCCTGTCAAGTAGCTCTATCGCCTCCTTGACAGGCATTCTAGGGTTCTCCACGTGCACTACAACCCGATGACGCCTAGGCAGTTCATCGAGCTGCACCGCACGCAGCCTAACCTCATTTATCTCTAAAACCGAAGTTAGGCTTCGCAGCCACCCTTCGGTTTCTGCATCGGTGCAGTTAAAAATAACTGCACCGTCCCTATCTGCTGTGCCCTTAAAGGTGGGAGCTTTGGTACCCTTCGCAATGCCAAGGATACTCTCTTTCACCTTATCCCTCAAAAGCACAGCTTCTTTTTGGTCCAACTTTTGCTCGGGATACTCCATGGGAACCATGGCCACCCTTGTTAAGCCGGATGTTACTTGGGCAAAAGTCCTCTGATCTGCAGCGATCTTAGGCCTTTTGCCCAATTGTGTAGTGCTGGGACTGGGTGTGCTCTGTTCCGATCTGGTTCGCTTGCACGTCCCAGCGGAAGCTCGCTCCCCCGTTCCTGGCATTGTCGCAGAAGCAGAGTTTGGTTCAGGAGCAGGCTTTTCAGCGCTGCTCTTCCCCTCCATCTGCTATTGCTTCTTATAACGACGACGTGCCGCCCCGCTATACTTTATCCGGTTTTTACCAGCTTGTGGCTGGGCCTTGTCCGGCTCCTTCCCTAAGCTGTCCGGTCTAACTTCCTCAGGTCGTTCGTCACCTAAGGTGGCTACGCCCTGGAGGACCTCCTCATACTCCGTGTTTATTTCTTTTGTATTATTTTTTTGCATTTTTGTCCCACGAGTACCGCGGTCGCGCGATCTCACCCGGGCAGAGCCGCGAATGCCCGGGGCTTGGCTAAATACTCCTGGAGGTCGCCCGGTTTCCGGGAGGCACCGTTTGTGACGCAGCACCCCCTGCGCCACGCAGCCCTCAGCACGGTCGCTCACACCTTGGCTTAGGGGGTTCCTTTTGGTCGGACGCGCCCGGCTACACCCTGAGCGGGTGATCCCCGTGCGCGCCCTTAAGCCCTCCCACCCGCCTCAGGGCGGCCACCCGCAGCCCCCGAGAACACCGGGTCCGCCGAGCGGTCCCGTCGTCCCCCGCGTCCCGCGAACCACGCACGCCCGCCCCGAGGCTTCGGCAAGGTAGGAACCCGTCGGGGGAGTATATGGGGTAAACTCCTGCTTGAATAGAATGATCATCTCCGCAAATAATTATACCAAGGTAGTTGATTTTTTTGGTGGCGATGCGTTTACTAATTAACGCGTTTTCTAATTTAAGACAAACTTATATACTTAACTTAACAATAAAAATAAAAATTTGGTGACGATTCTTGAATCGCAGGATCAAGTAGTTGCTCGTAGGTCATTTTTTTACAGTAGCGAGTGAGAGCCCGAACATTTATTCCAAAGTCTAACGCTGTTTTTACGAAAATATTCTCGCTCAACTTTGATTCTTTTAATCGCTCTAAATATAATTTTATTGGATATGTCTACCTTATCCGTCTTAAGGAAAGTCTTTCTTTTGTAGTTACGCACCATTATCTATTTATAAAAGAACAATTCGTCATTGATGTGTGGACACATTGCTCCATCAAAAATAGGACAGATAGCCCCGTCAATGTTTTTCGGTCTTTAACATGTTGCCAATTTTAGGTAATGCGGAATTAAGATTTGACGCTTCTCACACCTGATAACTATATATTAATCTATCCATTTTACAAATATGAGTTGCAGTAGAAAACAATTGCAATTCGTAAAATTGAATGGTGTTATTGTATTAGTTATTGTATTGTGTTATTGTATTAGAAAAGAAGTTGATGTTGTAACAAAAAATTATTGAATATGTAGCATTTGGATAATTTATTATTCTATCAACTTAAATTTGACAAAAAAAGTTGGAATGCAATACAGACACCTAGATAAAGATTATGACATGCGTTATTTCTACATTATGGGTAACGTGGTTTTTTGAATTTGTTGTTTAAACAAATTTTCAGCAACAAATTCACCGACGTTCAAGCATTTGATTATTGAAATGTATTTTTGGATTACCTAGATGTAATTTAAAGTCAAAACCATGTCCCAGATCGCTGGCGCTTATTTGTTATAAACGATTATTTTTTTTATTATAAACAAAAGAAACGTAAAAAATTTTTTTCGAAAATAAATTTTTTAACTTGATATTTATAAACTACATGAATGGACGAAGATTTCCTGAAAATTTCACGCCTTTATCATTAAAACTCGAAAAGTTATGCAATTTTAATAATAATAATAATAAAAAAAAAAAAAAGAAAAAAACGATTTTTTAATCGATGTTCAGGAATCGCGAAATATCTCTCGTCTCGTCCGTTGGTTTCGAGCGTTAGGGTGCATTCCGTTTCACGCATGGATCGCATGGACGGGAGCGCATCGCATGAGCGCATGGGTGCGTTCCGTTTTTCTCATGCTCTTACTGCGCATAGAGAAACGGAACTGTTATGATGCGTTTCGTTTGACTTGAAAACAAACATGGTGGAATCCGTGGAATAGTCCGTTGTCATTCTTCACACGATCGACTGTATTGTGCGTATTTTTGTTTGGACAATATTTGTAGGGTTTTTTTGTCTTCTCTATAAAATCTAATTATTAAAACTATTTGAAAAAAAAGAAAAAGAAGACATGGCGAGTGATGTGCTCTTTGTAATGTTTCCTATTTTCAACCAGATTGATGAAGATTTTCATGATCAAACTTCTTCATCATGTAGCAGTGAAGAAGATTATGAAGAAAATGATGACATGAATACTTTTTGTGCCATATTGATGGTACATGAGACGCGGGGTGAAATTTCTGCAGTTGAAAAGTTGTCCGATTATGTGGAACGAGTTGTTCCAGGATACTCCAAAATAACTTTTAAACAACATTTTAGGTTTGTACAAATGTATTTTCTCTCAATGATTGATAAATAACAAATCTGCCATGTATTTGACTTTGAGTTATGTTGCAGAGTGTTTCCAGAGACATTCCAACTAGTTTTGATGCTTGTAAAACCAATTTTGAATAGCATCAATGCTTGTGGAAGGAAACAAATATCTGCAGAGAAGCAACTTTTAATTACATTATGGTT